AACTTTTTCCTATGTGAAGTTAGACAACGGGGCCCTGGTTTTCCTTTGATCCTCCTTGAGAGGCCAAGCCAGCCCTGGCGTGTGTCCATCATCTCTTTCGGAGAATCTCAGCTTTGCTGTCGCTACCCAAATACTTAAAGCTGGATGAGGTTTTTGCAGTTTCAGGGTCGATTTTGTGGGGGAGCAGATAAGCCCATAGGACACACGGCTTTCAAGCAGCTCTCCTGCCAGCTCATTGGGATCGGGGGATAAGCTGAATTCTAGGGTTGGCTGGAGTGTGGGACCCACTCGTTAACGGGAAACCACATCCTTGCAAAGCAGGACGTGCTTAGATTCTCGTGCTGATTCCTGGTGTGCCAATAGTGCCTTGGATAAGCTGTCCACGAACAGAATCCAAATTCTCCAGGATGACCATTTAAGAAAATCTTTAGAAGGGTCCCTTACTTCCCATAACAGATATAGCCGGTGTCAACCTTTGCATAGGATTTGAAGCCAGTTCCCTGCAGAAACGCCCCTGAACAGGGACAGGTTTGCAGGGCTGGCACCTGAGCTGGGACTGACAGTGACCCAGGGCACAGGGTACCTCCTGGACCAGGGGAGCACATCTGTCCATTAACCTCTTCTAGCTAGAAATACAGACTCTTTCCAGTGGCAGAGAGTGCCCAGAGCCTGAAGCGTGGGTGAGCACCGTTTGCCAGCCCCGGCTATCCCAGGAGTCGTGCACCTGGGAGGCAGAAGGGGAAGGAGAGAGACGTGTGGACTGTGGCTGCCGCTCCTCTCTCCGCCCTGGGCTCTGAGACCCTCCCCTCTGACCCAAGTTCTTGGAAAACACAGTGCTAACGAAGGAAAAGACTTTTAAAGGTCACTTCTAGAGTGATGGAAAGTTAGTTCTAAGGGAGCTGGAGGCCTGGAAGCTTCCCCCTGACGTGAGGCTGGCCTGAGTCTTCAGTTGGGAGTGGCTACCACTTTAAGTATTTATTTCTGATCGCTGCACCTTGGGAAGTACCACCCGCTGAACCCGGTGGGTTTTCTCAGCCGGGGTTTCTCCCACCCTCGGACCCCAAAAGGCTCCTGTTGGGGTTCCCATTCCCTGCCATCAGGAATCTCTGGGCCTTGCTTGTGTGTCCAGTCTCACCTGTCTGAGTCGTCCCTTTGACTAAAGAATCGATAACTGGGGTGGGCTCACCCTCGGGGCTTCTCTGTCGGGCCTTTGTGGGGCGAAGCAGGTGGTTTTTGTTACAAAAAGTCTGCTTTCTTCTTAGACGTCCTTAAATGAGTTAAGACGGGTCCTCTCATCAGGACAAACAGGGCTGGGTGGCCAGAGCCCCACACCTTTGTTGTGATCGCTGAAGGGACAGTGAACGTTTCTTCCAAACAGCAGGGGTTAAGTGCGGGTGGATCTGACCTTTCCTCCTCCTGCCTGGCCCACCCTCCTAGGCAGAGCCTCACAGCAGGCGACCAGAGCAGGCCCTGGTGGTAACTCAGGGCATCAGCAGGATGGAGGAGATGGGGGCAATAAGGACAGAGAAAAAGGGGTGTTCTACCAGCCAGAGCTAAAGTATACCTTGAATTAAACATGTCTAATTTATTTTTCTAAGAAATATTGAGCAGCTATTATATGCCATGGGAGCAAAACCCAGACAAGATCCCGGCTCTGGGGGACCTCAGTCTGAGAATTCTGCTTCACAAAGGCAGGGGCACCATGTCGCCCTTAACCAGAGAGCACCCGTGTGGTGTCCACGCAGTGACCTCCTTCCCTCTCAAAGCCGCCCTTGACTTTCATGTCCACCTTCTTCCAGTGGAAAACCTAAAACCTCCCCTTTTTCCCTTCTGAAGGCGAGGAGGTGCAGAATGAGAACACAACATGTTCTCCAGACCTGCCCCACGGGGTCTGAATAAACCCATGGGGGTGTGTCACCCCTCGCTTACCTTTTTTCTTCTTTTCTAAGTAAAAGACCGCAGCAGACCAGAATCCTGGGGGTCATCAAGTGCCCAGGCCAGACATTTTTGACAGCAGATAGTCCTGCTTTGAAAAGCCGACTTTGCCCCATTCCCAGGCCTTGAGAATGGTCAGGATTCGTTGACTCTGACCTGAATATTTGCGTCTCGTTTGTTCTGAGTTTGTGTTTGTTTTTCGCCCCTTCTAAAAATCTCTTCCAACCTCGAGGGAGATTTCTGTGCTAAAGAAACGTGTGTTTTCTTACAACCCACAGGCGAGGAAACGAGACCACTTTTGTTCCCTCGAGAAGGTCTGGAGGACGTCGAGTTATTGAAAACGCGGATGGTTCTGAGGAGGAAGTGGACGCTCGCGATGCAGACTTCAACGGAACCAAAGCCAGTGAATAAGCGACTTGCTACAAACAGGACAAAACCCAGTGGACTCCGCTTAGCACTGTCTAAATCCATTTTCAAATTCCAAACATCACAAGACACCCCTCACGAGGAATATAAAAACCACCACCCTGGGTTCAGGGTATTGATTTCAGTTTTGAATGATGAACCAAATGACAAAAACCCAACAGGAGACACAGGCACACCCGCTCCCTCCATCAATGAATTGTGCAGATTTTGAGTTTTTAGAAAAATATATCCACGGTAACTAATCACTGGCAACTTAGTCTACATGAAATGGGGAGAAAGTCACCCAAAGGGGTGCCACTGCCCCCCACTCCCAAGCCGTTCCCTAACCTGTGTACCCTTCTGACGTCTGGAGCAGGCCCTTGTGTGCGAGTTCTTTTCCCCTCCTGGTTACCGCACATCAGATGCACACAGTTCACCGAGACCAAGTGCCTTCTGCAGTCACATGGATTAGAAGGAGACACTACTCCTACGGGAAGGGCAGGAACGCTACACTGTTTTATATGCACCCTGACTGTACCTAAGGACACCCTCACGAATAAAAGGTATCAATCACTAGAACGTGGTCGGCTTTTCTGTTTTCTGCAGAGCAAAAGAGCGAGAGGTGTTCTTTTTTAATCCTCACAATGACCCTATAAAGTCAGGGTTGTTATTTCATTAACGGGGAAACTGAGGCCTAAGGAGGTGAAAGAAATTGTCCAAGATCCCCCAGCTGGCAAACAAGGAAGCAGACATGCGAAGTGAGTCTGTGTGAGGGGGCTTCCCCGAGAGGAAGGGGACAGCTCTAGGCTCAGGGAGTCAGAACGTGACCAGGAAGAACATCTTTATCAGTCAAAAACAAAATGTATATAATGTGAAGGATACAAGATTTCCTTAAATTTCTAAGTTAAAACACACGACTCTGCCCAGCCTGAGTTGACAAATTTTTTCTAGAAAGGCCAGAGAGTAAATATTTTAGTCTACATATGGTCTCTGTCATATAGTCATCTGTTTTTTTTTTTGAAACCACCCTTTAAAAACATAAAAACCATTTATAGCGCGAGGGCCATAAAAAACCAGGCCGAGAGCCCTTTTCTTCCTCAGCCTGCGTGTTTTAGACAGAGATCCCTTGGCAAAGGTTCTATTCAGCGCAACCAATTCCATACACAGCCTCTGTGGGATCGAGTAGACTTGAGAAAAGAGGAAATACAGAAACTGAGAAGACTCAGCTGAATGACCAAATGCTAACATACCCTGAGCAATACACAAACATATCCCAAAAGTTCTAAGAAGCTGACTCAAATGGAAATTTTTGAAAGGTAGGTTTTCTGCATATTTAGTTACTTGGTTAAAAAACAAGAGTTTCTCACCACCACACGAGCACACACAGAAGCACACACACACGAAGCAGCATTTACTGACCACCACCACTGACTAGTGGAACATCAGTTTCCCTTGATTTTATTGTTCTTTTAAAAAAATAAAAGTACATCTTTTACCGATACAGGTTAGAATGTTTCTAGGGTAACTAACGGGCACTGAAGTTTAATTCTAATTTGCTGTTGAGTTTCAGTAGCACTTGAAAAGTTCTATTTTCAACTCAAGGATATTTTTGCTGTTCTTTTGGAAAAATAACTTAGTGACAAAAGGAAGGTTGTTAGGCTGCACGCGTGCTCCTGTGCTCTGAATTCACGTGTTCTTTTGCCTTGCATCCGAAAGTGAGAGACAGCGGTTCACAACAAGCAAGGATGAGCATATCCACTGTCTGCCTTGGAAGTCCTGTGGTCTTTTCTTCTGTGACAAGGAAGCTTCCAAGAACGATCCCGATGGTTTAATCTCGTTTGAAGGTCACCCCGATATTTCATTACGGCTTTGAATGAAGTCCTGTTCCGGGGGCTGTGATACCAAGGCCATTCCACCCCAGTGACCTTCAGGGTCCTGAAGCGGAGGTCACCTCCAGGCCAGGGCGACAGGGTCAGGAAAACTAACGGTCAGGACTGATCTAAAGAGGACACGATTTTCCACCTACCTGGTCCACACACAATTTACACTAAAACTCAAGCACACCTCTTAAAAGCCTCAATGAGAGGCAGATTAAAAAGTCTCAGAGGTCCACCACACCAGTTTAAAAAGGCCCATGGCCGTAGCAGTTAAGTTCACATGTTCTGCTTCGGCGGGGTTCGTGGGTTCGGATCCTGGGCACAGACCTACTCACCGCTCATCAAGCCATGCCGAGGGGGCATCCCACTAGAAGGGGAGGACCTACAACTAGGATATACAACTATGTACTGGGGCTTTGGGGAGAAAAAAGAAAAAAAGAGGAAGATTGGTAACAGATGTTAGCTCAGGGCCAATCTTCCTCAAAAAAAAAAGGCCTGTGCCCATTCCACTCCTTGCTCCTAGACATGATGCCAGTACACCAATCCTTGCTGGGCCATAGAACACGGGGAGATTTTGTTCTAGAAGGCAGCTCCAGCTGAGTGGGGGCTGCAGTGAGCCTCAGAGATAGGCTCAGATCCCACTGTTAAGGCATCTCCAGACATTAAAAACACCTCGCAAGACCAATGAGGACTCGGGACAGCTCAAAATGATGGGGCAGCCTCCACACCCTTTCCAGAGGGTCCAGTTTGTCCCCGTCCATTTGCAACACACCAACAAAGAGGCTGGCAATTATGAGACACCATTTCATGGGCACAACCATCAGGGGCCACAGGGGATGGCCATAGTCATTGGCCAGTGTGACTGCTGGCTTCTATTTCTCAAACTAACCTAAAGAAACCAAAAACCTAGTTTAAAGAAAAGCAGGCAAGAAAGGTAACAACTCCCACACAGACAACCAGGGGCTTTGGCTTCCGTGGCTTTCCTAAAGCAACATCTTGACTACACCCTGGGCTGGCGGCAGCGATGGTGAGGCAACATTTGAAGGCGGCTTCCCAAATTCCAGGCGTTTTCCCAACCTTCAGACAGAGCAAACCAAGTTAAGCGGACATGACAGCGGTGACAGCCTGGCTAGCATCGGGGCCCACAGAGTCACAGGAGTGAATATCAAGAGTCAGGAGCAGTGTCTCCCTGGGTCTCAATTTTCTCTCCTGTGAAACGAAGAAAAGGACACTGGCTGTCTAGCTCTCACGTTCCCAAGGGCACAGGAAAAAACCCAGCCACAGAGACCCTCTAAGGACATCCACTTCTAAAGGCCCGGAAGTTACGTGCATGCCGTGGAACACGATTCTTCATTTCCTGTCATCTGTCTGCCACTGACCCACCAAGTTTGTGTGGCCTGGGGTCTGGGGAGATGGTGGCACATCTTAGAAAATTCCCAAATCGGGAAGCTGCCCTGATTTTCTTCAGGCAAGAAAATAAACGAAGCTGTTAGAGGCCACCCAATCGGGTGACTGACTTCAGGAATCCAGTCTGGCTGGAATTTAGTGCCAGTTTCCCAGAGGTTCTAAAGATTAAAATAAAAAAAAAAAATCAATCCTCTTCTGGGGGAAGCAGAGCAGTGTTAGAAGCTCGTGGCCCAAAGAAGTGATTTATACAGGACTTGCTCACAGCGTGACCTGGGCTTGGGGCTGCAGAATCAAATAATAAGAATGAGCCACTCCTTGGCCGTTTGCCCAAACCAGAAGACACACCTAACTCCGTCTCATGGGACAGGACAGAGGATAAGGATGACATAATCCTGCAACTTTTAAAAAATGGCTAGTGGTTTGGGGTTACAGGCTCCTGCCTGTAGAGGACAGCAAAAGGTACTGACCCTTTATCACCCAGAGGCACACTGGTGCTGCCTGCCCGTCTGTCACCGCCATCTCTGTTCTTGCTCCCCCGTCCTGAGGCCGGGCCACTCGTCCGGTTTGGGGACTGATCATACATGAAGTTCCGGCAGGATGCAAGTTTGGACTCCAGTGCCTGGAGAGAAACATGCTTTCACCTCTCAAGTCAAAGACAAGAACTCTGCTCTCTCCCTGGAGCCCGAACACAGACAATAACCTAAAACAGCGGTTCTCAAGTCGTGTTGTGCGTTGGAATTCCAAAGTGGGGCCCCAAAGGAATCCAATGTACACCCAAGGCTTAGAACCGCTGGCCTAAGATATTTAGGAGCTTCCTGGAAAATCACTAACCCTACCCATTATCCAGCTCTGCCTACAGGAAATCTGACATCAGCTGTTGGAATCATTCACTCTTGTTTACCTTCTTCGACATGCACAGAGCGGCAGGAGGTCTGAACAAGGACTTTGCCTTGCTGTAAACAGACCCCGTGAAAACCAAAAGGGCACCAAGACCACCCAGGCTTCTCTGTACTCTAACTGTGCAAAGTATTAAATCAGAGACCTGTTTCTATAACAGAAAACCAGATAACCAAAACCAAAAGTGAAAACATAAGAAATGAATCGCAAGCTTCTATAAAGTTGCAGCTCTGCACACATACATTCTGACTGACGACAGAATGGCAGGATTTAAATCATGTGGCTTCCCAGGCATCATTTTAAAAAATAAAAGAAGCAACTACAAAGAATACCTATGGCATTTCTTAAGCACAAAAGAATCCTTCCCTGTAATTAATATAAGACCTGTAAAGTCAAGTTCTCGGCCCTAGCCTTTTAAGATTTTCTCTTTAACTCCCTGAGACTTAAAAAAAAAAAAACACAAAGAGGGCAATTTGCAAATGTTTCTGTTTTTTCAAATTAAGAAAAAAATCACAGACATCATTCACATTTCCCAAATTCCAAGGAAAAATAGTACCAAGAAAGAAACACCCAGGGATCAAAGGGATGACTTAGGTTCAGAGCTCGGGGTGTTTGTCAGTAACAAAGCCCTCAGAAGCTCAAATCGTTGTAAGGGACAGTATAGGACCAGAGCCACACCTAAAACGCATGAAGCCGCTTAAAGGGGAAAGGAACTGGTAAGGTCATCCTCTCTAATACCCTGAAGATAGGCAAGAAGCCCGCCAAAGCCCAGGGAGGTACCGTCTTACCCCCACTTTCCGCAGCAGGTCTCCCACGATGTTGAGGGCAGATATCCGGGCAGCAGGTGTGAGGGGGGTCCCACCCGTGGAGTCATCCAGACCTGGGTGTGTAAAGGGAAGCGCACATGACACCAGCCCACATCATGAGTCTGAGCGCTAAGGGTCTCTAAACGTGCAACCAGGGGGTGGGCGAGGGAAGCTAACGCTTCCCCTTTGATTCCAGACGCTGCCCTGTTTCGTTCAATAGTTAACTGCCAACACAGTAAGAGTCTGTTTAGTGACCAACCTTTCGCAGCCTTACAATGACTATATTAAATATTTATCGCAACATGCTATTCTTTGAAAACAAAATCGAAACAAGCCCTCTTGAAATTCTAGGAATTCCATATAGTTAATTAACATTAGCAGCATCTGAGCAAGCCACATGGATAGGGGTTCTACTGTACAGAGAACCTCTCTTCAAAGCAGGACTCACGCACCAGCAGCACAAACACCACCTTGGAGCCTCTTAGAAATGCAGGATCTCAGGCCCCACCCAGACCTGCTGATTCTGAGATGCATTTAACAAGAGGCCCAGCTGAGTTGGGTGCATGTTAAAATGTGGAAAACACAGCTCAAGACTGGGATTCTGGAACTCTCACCAGTCTCTTCATCCCAGGCGACAAACTAAGGGAGAAGGCAGTATATGGTAGTGTACGCCCTGGAGCCAGCCTGCCTGGGTTTGCATCAACTCAGCCATCCACCAGCTGTGTGACCTTAGGCACGCTCCTTAACTCAGGGCCTCAGTCTCCTCATCCATCACATGGGGATAGCACTTCCATTACCTGTACCTTGGGCCTGTTGGGAGAATTCAGTGAGCTCATATATACATGCAGAGCACTTTAAGCAGAGTGACCAGCACATACTGAGCACTCGATAATTGTCTATTATTATTATTTGCTACTACGTGGTCTGATCAGAGTCTCACAGTTCATCAGCTAGCAGAGGGGCTGGCGTGAAAACTGAAATTTCTCACTTTTTACTGCACAGCACAAATTACATTGCCTCCAGTTCTAGACAGATATATTGCTGGACCCACATAATGCCTTTTAAATTTTTTACTTGGTCACTGAAATTTTAAATTTGGGAGATTTCATATTCAACAAGAGGGTTTCTGGCTTCTGCTGAAGAATGGAAATGTCTGCTAATGCCGACATTTGTAGTAGGAGCAGAGGGGCAGCTGCCCCCTTCAGATGAGGCTTCTAGTTCCCAGTTCACCTCAGACTCCACTGCTCCCTACTGCCTCACACCCAAGAGGCTCCTCTCACTGACCTCAATGGTCTGCCCCTGCGAACACTCCCAGTTTGCGCCCTGCCCTATGGCCTGGTCCAATCTCTCTCTCACCCGGGAAAGCTTTGTGAAACAAAGAAGATCCTCCCGATCCCCGTTCCCCTTACCGCGTCGGAACGTCCCAGGTGTGTTGAAGCTCGAGCTGGGTCCTCGATGAGCTATGGGAGTGGACGGCACAGAGCCAGTGGCCTGCACAGCTATGTCTGTCCTTTCAGCTTCCACCGAGCTGGGCTTGGGGGTCCTGGGTTTCTCCTGCTTTTGCTGCACAGCCAATTCCTGCCGCAGATCTGGGCCAGGAAAAGGATTCAGGTTAAGTCCTTGCTTTGGGTGATGGGGGACGGGTCAACAGTAGATGCTTGTCAGGGAAAAGAAGTACCAGGGGGAAAACTCCAGGTGGAAACACTGAATGAAGTGGAACCCACAGGACCTTGCCTAGCAGGCTTATAAAACTACATGATTTTTCTTTCGAATAAAAACAAAAAGGTTTAAAAAATTTTTTAAACTATGGCAGTAACACACTAATGCTTTTATTGTTTCAAAAATATTCCACTGTGGCAGGGTATATAGAATACTAGGTGGAAAAATGCTTTCCCAACCCTTCCCCACACGCCCCTGCTCACTCATAATCACTGTAACATGGCGGAGTCTTTCCAGCTCTTCTTCTCTGCATGTTCATATGTACAGTTTATATGTACATGTATATCTATTAAGCAAATAATATGAATAACTTTTTTTTTTAATTTTTTTGTGAGGAAGATCAGCCCTGAGCTAACATTCTTGCTAATCCTCCTCTTTTTGCTGAGCAAGACCGGCTCTGAGCTAACATCTATTGCCAATCCTCCTCCTTTTTTTCCCCAAAGCCCCAGTAGATAGTTGCATGTCACAGCTGCACATCCTTCTAGTTGCTGTATGTGGGACGCGGCCTCAGCATGGCTGGAGAAGCGGTGCGTCCATGCGCACCCGGGATCCGAACCCGGGCCGCCAGTAGCGGAGCGCACGCACTTAACTGCTAAGCCACAGGGCCGGCCCAATATGAATAACTTTTATTAAGCATAAGTAGAAACAACGTCTACTGTCTATGACTTATCTTCCTTCCTTCAATGGTATGTCTTAATCTTTCTATAACTACATTTATATCTATACCTTGTTTGTTTTAACAATTGCTTAACATTCCACAAAATAAATCTAATTTATTTAACCACTTCATCACTGATGGACATTTAGGAACAAATACCTTAAAACTTAAGAGTTTTTTCTTTTTAATCCCTCTTCCACTGCCTACACATTAGAAACTAGATTAATGCCATAGACAATTAACTGGGACTTTAAACAAAATCTCTATGCGCCAATGTGGGTGATTCACCACTGTCGTGTTGCAGCTGGCAAGCTCTACCTCTGGAACTGCCACCTCCAAAGAGCAAACGCTGCTGTGGTCTCAGAGTTCTAAGCCACGGGTGTCAGCTGCCATCAAGTCATGAAAATGACAAGCTAGCTAGCAAGTCCATCAGGACTTTCTCCCCACAAAACTCGTGTTCCTACTGAGCATAAAGCTGGTGGTGGGTTTAAATACCCACAAGGGATCTTTACAGAATCTGACAATTCTTAGCATGAGGCGGGGACCAAGGCTAGAGCCTGCTCGGTGTGGTCCCATGCCCTCTAACCAGACAGCCTGTGTGCCAAGCAGGCCGTGGGTTTCCAGCAAAGGTAACAATGGGCAATGCTGAGGGACAAGACATTCTCAGGTAGGGAGAGGGAACAACGCTGGTGAGGGCACACGGCACAAAGCCAAGGCCTCCTGACCTCTGGCCTCATCCTTCAGTCGCTGAACAGATTCTAGGAGATTCTCCTTCTCATCAAGTTCGCTCTCCAGAAAGGCATTTCTTTCAATGGCTTGATTCAAGCGCTGCTCAAAGTCTTCTAGAGACATGATTGTGGCCCTGGTAAGAGAAAAGCAGAGTTGTCCAAGAGGGCAAACGGCAGCATCCATCTGGTGCTCACAGACCCGGGAGATGAGAAGGGTCAGACACGGGGGCACAAGTCCAGCCCTGGCACTTCCCAGACACCCCAGACCTGAGTGACCTGGGCTCAGGACCTGGGCTCTTCACCTGCAGAATGGGAACCATCTTAGCCCAGGAGGGGCACAAGGCTGTCCTGAGGATTAAATGAGATAACGTCCATATAGCACTTAGCAGTGCCAACGTCTTGTCAGGACCACATGCAGGGCCCAGTCGACTGCCAAGGGCAGCATGCTCCATCTTCCCTCAGAGACTCATCATGCAAACAGTATTCAGAATATCCTACTAAAAGGCACATACAACGTAATAACATGCATTTAAACAGGTAGAAGAGACCATCTTGAATCTCTCGGTTACCTTTCTAAAAAGTTCAAAATGCCCAGCCCCAGCCCAGCTGCCCTGCTAACCACCACTTCTTCTTGTGAACAGTGTAGACATTTCACTGGAACGCTGTGTTGAAGGCACTGAGAAGTGCTGGAAGACAGAATCTGTTTAACTCCGAGGCACAGAGAAGGCAGCTGGCCAGTTTCCTGCCGAGTAAAGCAGGGGTACTAACAGCACCTCCACACGGGGCCGGGGGACAGGTAGAGGAGTACAGGAAGCACGTAGGGATGTTTCCCATCTAAGTGCTCAATAAATCCCAGCCATTTCTACTACTGACCCCAGGTTTGTCTCCAGAAAACCTTGAACACCATGCTAACTGTATCTCACGGTGGCTTGGAGCATATGTGTGGAGTGGAACCCAGGAGTTAACACTGGCTCCTTCCACAGAAGACCAGCTAAGCGTCCTCGGGCAACTAAACCTCTCTGGGCCTCTGGGCCTTTTTTTTTGAATTTATTTATTTATTTTTTAATTTTTCCCCCAAAGCCCCAGTAGATAGTTGTATGTCATAGTTGCACATCCTCCTAGTTGCTGTATGTGGGACGCAGCCTCAGCATGGCCGGAGAAGCGGTGTGTCGGTGCGCGCCCGGGGTTCCGAACCCGGGCCGCCAGCGGGCCGCCAGCAGCGGAGCGCACACACTTAACCGCCAAGCCACGGGGCTGGCCCCAAGGGCCTCTGGTCCTTTAATAGCAAAGCGAGGATCATTCATTCATTTATTCTACATATCCCACTATGTCCAGAGTGAGTCATGGCAGTGCCTACCCTCAAAGGGTCTTTAGAGGGAAACAAGATAAAGTTACCACAAGTGCCTGATTAGCAACAACAAAGGGATAATACTGAAGAATACAATACTGGAATCAGTTAAAATGACCCTAAGGCTGACATGTCAAACAAGAAAAAAGATAAAATACCTAGGAATTCACGTAACAGCAAATAAGGGAGACTTTACTGTAGGGCATGGAAGGCTTGTCGAAATGCAGACACATGGGGGTTTATGAGGAGGAAGACTCAATATCACAAAGAAATCAATTCTCCCTGAGTTACCTGATAAATTTAAGACCATCCTAATAAAAATACTAATAGGTTTTTATTGGGGGATGGAGGCACAGGGGGACTGATTTGCAAGATCATGCGGTAATGAAATAAGAATGGCCAGGAGAACCACGAAAAAGAGACCAGGGAACTAGGTCTACTGGATATAAAAACCACGTTATTCCAAAGCCTCAGTAATGAAGCACAGTGTGGTGCAGACAGACCAGAGGGAACCCAGGGTCCAGAAACAGATCCAAACACACGTGAGAATTTAACTTGTGATCAAGGGGGTATCACAAATCATTGATAAAAAGATGGCTGATTCAATTCTTGGTTTGGGGACCCCTGAGTAGGCACCTGGAGAAAATTAATCATGGATCCATACCTCATACTGCACCTCAAGATAAATTCCAAATGGATCAAAAACTTAAATTCAGGACTTGGTCAAAATCTACTACTGGCTTCTGGAATGCCAGAGAACTGAAGACCAATTTCAGTGGCATTTCTGGCATTTGTGAACCCGTGTGTATCCATGATCACGTGGTTGTATGCAATCAGCATAATGGCGTTGGTAATACCAGCAGAGCACAGCACTGAGGTTCCTTGTTACTATGTGAATATTTGCTTTCAAATAAAGGTAAGCATCCTAGTGGTAACCCAAGTGAAAACAGCTTCTTGTGCTTTTGATGTTGAAATTCTATCTGTCAAAGATGCAGTAAAGCATGTTTATTATCATAAAACGCTACAATACTTAATGACTGTGAAAGCTGTTAGTCTCATGTAGTTGAGAACTTGAAAATAGTTAAATAGGAAAACGGATTTTCAGTAAATATGAACATTAAGAGATACATTTGTTAGATAACTAAGAACATATCCTTTTTGAGCCAATAAATGATTTAAAAGTCTATGTATCACCTCACACCCATCAGAACGGCCACTATCAAAAGAAAAGAAAAGAAGTGTTGGCGAGGATGCAGAAAAGCTAGAACCTTTGTTCGCTGCTTGTGGGAATGTAAAATGGGGTGGTCGTTATGAAAAATAGTATGGAGGTTCCTCAAAAAATTAAAAATAGAATTACCATATGATCCAGAAATCATACTTCTGGGTAAATACCCAAAAGAATTGAAAGCAGGATCTCAAAGAGATATTCGTACAGTCATGTTCACACCAGGATTATGCACAACAGCCAAGACGTGGAAGCAACCCAAGTGTCCATTAACAGATGAATGGATAAAGAAAATGTGGTACATACATACAACGGAACATTATGCAGCCTTAACAAAGACGGAAATCCTGTCACATGCTACAACACAGATGAATTTCAAGGACATTATGCTAAGAGCATAAGCCAGTGTCAAAAGGACAACTACTGTATGATTCCATTCATATGGAGTATCTAAAGCAGTCAAAATCATAGAAACAGAAAGTAGAAAGGTGATCACCAAGGGCCGGAGGGAGCAAGGAGGAGGAATTAGTGTTTAGTGGGTACGGAGTTTCAATTTTGCAAGATGAAAAAGGTCTGGAGAGCTATTGCACAACAATGTGAATATACTTATACTTAATGCTACTGAACTGTAAACATAAAAATGGTGAAGATGGTAAATTTGATGCTGTTTTTTACCACGATAATAAATAAACTTTTTTTTTTTTTTTTTTGGTGAGGAAGATCTGCCCTGAGCTAACATCTTCCAATCCTCTTTTCTCGCTGAGGAAGATTGGCCCCGGGCTAACATCCGTGCCCATCTTCCTCCACTTTATATGGGACACCGCCACAGCATGACTTGAGTGCGCGCCCGGGATCCGAACTGGCGATCCCTAGGCCACCACAGTGGAGCACGCACACTTAACTGCTTGCGCCACCAGGCCAGCCACCAAAAATTTTTTAAAAGTCTATGTAATAATACATCTAAGGGTTAAGTTAGATTAAATCAATTTTAATCTTTGTAGAACTTTTTGGTATCTTAGCACTGATATATTAAACAAAATCACCTTTAAGGAATGTATTTAACTTTCAGTTACTTCCAATTAGGCCCCAAGTCTTCCAAAGTTATCCCCTTGGTCAGTTAAAAGGGAGTCATTTAATTTGACAGATGTACAGTAGAGGGACCATAACAAGCAAACAGCTGATGATGCCAGGAAATTACTATTCTTGTAGTAGACTGTCAAATTGTCCAAATATACCTATTAAAATTATAAAATAAAATTGTAATGGTTTAAAGTATTTTATAAAATTTCAGTATTCCAGAACTTCATTCATCATATAATGGTGATTTGGGCCTCTACCTCATCTGATTTCAACATTCAATTATTCAGCATTTGGCCAAAATGTGAATCCAATGCACCTTTAGTTAAAAAAAAAGAAACAAAGAAAGAAAAAGAAAACATAAAAATACTAGAAGAAAACATAGGCTAATTGCTTTATAAACCTTGTAGTGCAGCAGGCCCTTCTGATAAATGTGTCTACAGAGAAATCAAATAACTTGTTTTTTTCTTTTTTTTTGTGAGGACGATTAGCTCTGAGCTAACGTCCGTTGCCAATCCTCCTCTTTTTGCTGAGGAAGATTGGCCCTGGGCTAACATCCGTGCCCATCTTCCTCTACTTTATATGGGATGCCACCACAGCATGGCTTGACAAGCGGTGAGTTGGGTGGGCGTCCAGGATCCCCGCCCGCCAACCCTGGGCCGCCGAAGCAGAGCGCACGCACTTAACCGCTACGCCACCGGGCTGGCCCTAGCAATCAAATAACTTTTGGCAGTAACACATACAATAGACAAAGCCGGAAGACAAGTGACAAATTCCAAATATTTTCAATTCATATCACAGACAAATATATAAAAGTTTCCTAGAAACTGATGGAAAAAAAGACAACCAACAACCCAATTTAAAATTAGGCAAAGATAAACAGAGAGTTCACAGAAAAGCAAATAAAACAGTTCTTAAATATATGAAAAGGAACTCAAGGTCACTCATAATTCAGAAATGTACCTATTTGTCACCTATTAGAAATCCAAAGTTTGAAAACTACTGTTAGTGAAGCTATTTGGAAAAACGGACTTACATACATAGCTGTTGGGAATGTAAATTAGTACAACTATATAGAGAAAAACTGGGCGATAACTATCAAAATTGCATATGCATATGTCCTTAGACCCAGCATTTTCAATTCCGGGAACTTACTCTACAGATATACATCTGTGCAAGCAACGTTTATCATTCATTACAGCAAACGCTTATCACTGGGAAAGAATGGAAATAAAGCAGATACCCATCCACAGGGGACTGGATAAGTGAATTACTATGTATTATACAATACAATACCAACCATACAATAGAATATTATGCATTTGGGGGGAAAAAAAAGAACAAAGAATTTTCTGCGTCCTAATAAAGAAAGATCTCCAATCTCTTGTTATGTGAAAAAGCAAGATATATAACTGTATGTATAAAATGCTCTTTTGTGGAAGAAAAAAGAAGCGGGGTAATACGAATTTCTATTTTTATTTGCTTGAATTTGCATTAAAAAACTCTACCCCTTTGTATGTTATTTTTGAACCATGTGAATGTTCTCTCTCTTTGCAGTAGATTGCGTTATTGGCCCCATTCTTCACCCTCCCTGCGTCCACACCCTTGCTGTGGCTTCACTGTGGGTGGAATGTCTTTCCCTTCCCTTGACGTGGCCTGGCCATATGACTTGCTTTGATCAATGATGTATGGGTAGAAACGATGGTATGCCAGTGGCTTGCCAGAAATCAGAACCTACTATAAAGCCACAGTAATCAAGTCATTATGGTAATCGTATAGTAATTCACTGGACCAAAACAGAGAATCCAGAATTAGATCCCAGGATATATGAGAGGTTAAGATAGGACAGAGATGGAATCCAAATCAGTGGAAAAAAGATAGAGTGTTTAATAAATAGTGCTGGCACAAATTGGCCATCCACCTAATGAAAGTAAAATTGGACCCATATCTTATACTAGATACAAAAATAAATTCCAGGGCCGGCCCTGTGGCTTGGTGGTTAAGTGCGCGCGCTGCAATGCTGGCGGCCCGGGTTCGGATCCCGGGGGGGCATCGAGGCACCACTTCTCCGTCCATCCTGAGGCCGAGTCCCACATGCCGCAACTAGAAGGATGTGCAGCTATGACATACAACTATCTGCTGGGGCTTTGGGGGGAAAAAATAAAATAAATAAAATCTTTAAAAAAAAAAATAAATAAAAAAAAAAATAAATTCCAAGTGCATTAAAGGCATAAGTGTAAAACAATGAAACAATAAAAAAATCTTCCAAAAAAAAATTTAAGAGAATACTTGCATAATCACAGGATCAAAGAGATTTCCCTAGTGAAGTCTGGAAACTGAGAAGCTATAAAAGGAGACATAATTGATGACCTAAAATTGAAAAATGTTTGTATGGAAAATGATACCACAGACAAAGTCAAAAGACAAAAGATTGTTTTGTAAAAAATATTTTCAACGCAGGACAAAAGATTAGTAGCAAAAATATACAAAGAGCTATTACAAATTGACAAGAAAGGAAGTTCCACTTCTGCTAATAAGGTAGCTTGTATCAGACCAAACCTCCTATAGATTACAACTACAAACTCTGGGTAAACTGTGAAAAACATTGATCTGAAGGCCCTGGCAGAAACCAAAACGGAGCCAACATCTGGAAGAAAGGAACAGCAGAGGGGATGAATTTTGCATCTTTTTAAGCTTTCTGCCTACAGCTCCAGTGATAGAAATCCACCACCACAGGGGAGCCCCAAATTCTGCATATAAACTCTTCCCACGTCTCTGGCTGACCCCTGACCCATGCATGTGCCAGGCAGACGTGAAGCAGCCCGTTAAGGCTAAAAGAATCAAACAGATTTCAGCTACTGCCCATCAAGGGGAGAAAGAGTTTGGAGTGTGAGTTCAGCCTAGTTAACAAACAAACAAACAAAAACTCAACAAAACAGAATCGATAGTTTCCGCAACACATCACTCATAATGTCCAGAATATTATCCAAATTTCCTAGACATGTGAAGAGCAAGGAAAAGGTGACCCAAACCGAAGAGAAAAGGCCATCACTGGAAATCAACCCTGAGACAACCCAGATGTTGGAATTAGCAGAAAAGGATTTTCAACTAGCTATTATAATTATGCTTAGGGATGGAAAGAAAGTTAGTTCAGTAGAGGAACAGAAATTATTAAAAAAAAAAAAAAGGAAATTCTAGAACTGAAATTACAATATCTAAAATAAAACATTATTGGAATTGGCTTAACAGCAGACTGGAGAAGAGAGAAGAAGGAGCCAGTGAACTTGAAACTAGATCAACAGATATTATCCAATTTGAGGAACTGAGAGAAAAAAATATTGGAAAATAAAAAAGAACAGAGCATCAGGGTCTGACAATCAAGAGACTAATGTGTGTAGCTGGTGTCTCAGAAGGACAGGCGAGAAAGAATGGGGCAGCAAAAATCTTTGAAGAAATAATGACCAAAGTTAAATTTGGCAAAAGACAAATTTACAGACTACAGAAGCCCAGCAAACCCTTCTCTGGATAAATACATACGAAATCAAGGCACGTCATAACCAAAATGCTGAAAATCAAAGAGAAAATGTGAGAGCAGCCAGAGAAAAACAACACATGACATACAGGGGAGAGACCACCCCAATGACCACTAACGTCTGACCCAAAGCAGGGAGCCCAGAAGACCGCGGAACAAAAGAGCTGAGAGAAAAAAAACGCCTGTCAACCCAGAATTCTACATCCAGTGGAAATATAAAGAATGAAGGCAAAAGAAAGGCATTTTCAGATAAACTCAAACTCGCAGAATTCGTTGTCAGCAGACGTGCGCAACAAGAAACCCTGAGGGAAGTTCTTGAAGCTGAAGGGAAATGATACCAGAGGGAAACCCAGCTCTTCAGGAGGGAATGAACCAGAAACGGTAAATATAAAAGGCTATCTTTTTCACCCTTCTAATTTCTTTAAAATACGCTGGGCTTTTTTTTTTTTAAAAGATTTTATTTATTTTCCCCCAAAGCCCCAGTAGATAGTTGTATGTCATAGCTGCACATCCTTCCAGTTGCTGCCTGTGGGACGTGGCCCCAGCATGGCCGGAGAAGCAGTGGGTCGGCGCGCGCCCGGGATCCGAACCCGGGCCGCCAGCAATGGAGAGCACGCACCCAACCGCTAAGCCATGGGGCCGGCCCCACTGGGCTTTTTAAAGCAAACATTATAACAAGGTATTGCTGGAAGCCATAGCATTTGCAGATGTTAACAGTATTATAACTACAGGGTACAGTCCAAGCGTGGTAAATGAAACTGCAGGGTTGCTGCATTTTACATGAAAGGGAACCGTGTTAACTAAGTTGACTTAAAAGTTGAGCATGTATATCGTGATCCCTAAGGTATCCACTAAAAAATAATGCAAGGGGGGCTGGCCCCATGGCCTAGTTGTTAAGTTTGGCGCACTCCGCTTCAGCGCCCTGGGTTCGTGGGTTTGGATCCTGGGTGCACACCTACACCACTCGTCAGCCATGCTGTGGCGGCAATCCACATACAAAATAGAGGAAGACTGGCACAGATGTTAGCTCAGGGCGAATCTTCCTCAAGCAAGAAAGGGGAGGAAGACTGGCAACAGATGTTAGCTCAGGCCGAATCTTCCTCAGCAAAAAAAAAAAAAAAAAAGCAAGGAACTGTGGGGCAATGCAAAGGTTCCATATCTTAACAGGAGCAGGGGTAACATGACCATACGTGTTTGTCCAAACTGATGGAACTGTACATACACTTAAGATTGGTGCATGTCACTGTAATTTATATCTAATCTTTTTTAAGTGTTTTGTTGGAAAAAAAAAGTATCTGCCTCAGAGTCATTATTCAATAAATGTTAGTTATTATTGTTAGTATGCTGCTAAACAACAGAATATCGGCTTAAGAAATACTGTTCTTTGTACATGCTTCTTTCCTTCTTACCTTAGCGCCTCATTTAGCACATGCTTGTCCTTCTGCCTGGAATGTTCTCACCTTATACTCTTCCCTTGGATAATGCCTAAGCATCCCTCGGTCTTAGCCTAACTGACATTCTCCCAGCAACGGCCAAATGAACACATCCTCTCACAGGCCCCCACAGCACCCTGGACTTGGAGCACTTCCAGCTGTAAGTAAGTTGCACTCATTTGCCTATCGTCCATTTCCTATGAGACTGTAAGATCCATACGGGCACTGGCTTTGTTTTGCTCAATGCTGAATTCTCTAGACTCAACACAGTGCCTGGTACCCAGCTGCTGGGGGCAAAAAGCAGAGACCAAGGGCTCCAAAACCTGTTTCCTTCTTCCCGACGTACCGTTTTGCTCTTTCCAAGTCATCGTTTGCTTGCTCCAGCTCCCGGATGTATTTCTGCAGTTGATCCTTAATTGCTTTTGTCTGGGCAAGGTCATCCTCCAAGGCTGAGATCTGCCGGTAGCCTTCAGAATGCTGCGTTTCGAACTTCTCCTGAAGGACAAAATCGACACTGACTGAAGGATTTCAGATTCTGATAAGCTATGTTGATCTCCCTTCCCTGTCATCTCCTTAAAATATGACTGTCAATCCTGGAATGGATGCTCTCCTGTTGTAGTGGACATGGGTCGTTTTTAGCCACTGAGCATCTTTCCTCCCCTTCTGCACAGCCCGCCAGCACCCTGATTTCTTTAGGGGATTTCTATCTCCCTTATTGTAGGGTCTTTACGGGACCAGTCTTCCCATCACACTCATTAAGGAGCCTCCAGGCTTCCCCTCGAAGCCTCCCACCACAGCCAGGGGACAAGCCTAAACTCAGTCAATAGGACCTTCTCTCCACAGACGTGAACTCTAAACAAGTGAGGGAAGATGGCAGGCACAGGGGGCCGTCATTCAAAGCTGTCATGTGCCAAGTGCTTCCTGCCTCCCAGCCCCCTGAGCATCTTGTACCCTGCCCCCCCAAACCTGGTCCCTGCAGCCTCTGGGTGTCAAGAAGCCACCAACAATCTTCAAAACAATCACTTTGCTCAAGGTGTCAAAGCCTCATCCATGAGGACAATACAAATCCACGTCCCACGACATGCCCATATACAAAGACAGTGTCAGGAATCACAATGGCCTCAGGTGCTTGCGCCTCACAGAAAGAGCACGACATCCTGGACTTGGTTTGACAACTGTTCTGACCTTGTGATCCAGGGAGGGAGGGAAGGAAGAAAAAGAAACCTTTTATTAATTACCAAAAGCAGCTTAGTGTGATCTGGCTAGTGCTTTCAAAGGCAAGGACTAGCCCAGATGACTTCTCAATGATCTGCTGTTGCCCAGTTGTCGCAGCGAACATGTATCACATTATTACTCTGTGCCAGCCTCCGGGCTCAGGACATGACCTCTGTTGCCTCATTTAATCCCATGTATGTGGGGACTGAGGCTCAGTTACTTCATCAGCCCCAAGTCAACTGGCGGCAAATGACTGAGCCAAGACCCAGCCCGGGCCACCTGGGTTCCTGCTCCTAAAACACCTGTGCTCAACTGCCCTCAGCTATTCCAGTCTAGGTCCTGTAGGTGTTGATCACACACACACACTCACTTCTGCTCTGGCTCCCCTTTCAAATTACTCACCTTCACCCAACACCCTTACTACCTTTCCTTCATCTACACATATGAAAGAAAACACTCACTTCCCACAGGAAAAGCCCAACGTCTAAATAGAAAGTTAAAAAAAAACAGGGAAACTCCTCTTCTTTACTCAATCGAATAAACAAAGCTGTTGCTACAAGCGGTCTGGATGCACCGGGGAGAGTGAGGTAATGGTGCCCAGGCCAGAGAGGCATGGCAAGCACCACCGTGAAAGGAGAACATCCACAGAACAAGCAGATTGTTCACAGGGTGAGGACAGGGAGGGCATTCCACATCCGCCCGCTGCTCGGTCCCCTCTGACACTCCGTTTCCCAGCTGTGAGCAGAGGAAGCGTCCCCACGCGGGCAAGCAGGGGCAGACCAGGCCCCGTGCACAGGCGAATTCCCAGGCGTGGCCCTGATCACCTCGCAGCCTTTATCCTGGTGCATCCCAAACAAAACAGGAGGATCCTAGGTCATTAACCTAAATTCAAACACAGCTTCCAAGAGGATGCCGTGAACGGGCTTCTCTGCTGGCATCAAGATTCGGATGGTGCCCTTTGAACTTGTGGACGTGAAAAGCTGCTGCTGAGACGTTGTGCTTTCATTTGGGGCTAATTATAATAAGCTGTCAGCTGATGGAGGCATCAGTAGACGCTCTGTTTGATCCCTTACAGGCGTTTTTATTCAACGCGTGATGAATAAGCCAGTTGTCAAGAAGTCTGACTCAGATGAATACATTTCTCTTAGGTGACTGGCAAACATGTGCTGGTGGCAGTTCTCTATTGCAGGGTATTTCTATTTCTTCCCCTGCTCTACGCTCTGCGTCTCATGCATCTGTCACGTGGTTGTAATGAAGAGGCAGGTCTTCCACAGGTTCCAGGGCCCACCCTTGAAGCAGTGAATTACTCAGTAATTGCTTGCTATTTATTCAGCATCCACAGAGGGCCTCGTACCCTCTCTAACCCATCATTCATACCACTGAGCCTCCTTCCAGTTTTCCATCCTGAGTCCCCTTCAATTTAAGAGCTATAATGATTCCTTAGTGCCTACGGCAAGGGTCAGGCTGTTAAAATGAGTGAAGTGGGCCAGGTGTAGGGATAAAGCAAGTGACACTTAGCCCTCAGTGTCCGAGACTGGGGGTGCGGTGGACTGTAGTGGGGACCGGGGTGAACTGGAGAACGTTTGCTCTAAGCAACCACTACTCGGCTTTTTTGCTGCTGTGGCAGAGTACAGGCCTGATGCGGCCAGATCCGCCAATTCTCAAAGGACGTCAGAAATCCAGATTTTTACAGAGAGCCTCATAACTTTGAATGTTGGTATTAAATATTTAAAATACACTAAAGGGGCCGGCCCGGTGGCATAGCGGTTAAGTTTGTGCGCTCTGCTTCAGCAGCCCGGGATTCACTGGTTCGGATCCTGGGCGCGGCCCTACACACCGCTTATCAAGCCTTGCTGAGGTGGTGTCCTACACAGAGCACTAGAAGGATGTACAACTATGACATACAACTGTCTACTGGGGCTTTGGGGAGAAAAAAGAAAAAAGGAGGAAGATCAGCAACAGACGTTCACTCAGGGCCAATCTTCCTCAAAAAATAAATAAATAAATAAAATGCTAAAAAAAACACACTAAAGATATGAAATTTTACTATCAAAAGAATAAACTGTAAACAAACTTTTAACTCTAGCTAATAATAGCATGCCAAGGTATTTATAAGGAAGTCTACAGATGTCTGTGATTCACTTTGAAATGTATCAGAAAATAAGACAAATCGATGGATGAACAGATATGTAATAAAAAGTACAGCGAAGGTTACAGCTACAGCCTGTGTGGTGGCTATACAGGTGTTCACTGGAAAATTCTTTCAACCTTGCTGTGTGCTTGAAAACTTGCATGATAAAATGTTGAATAAAAACCACTAAAGACTAAGCAAACAACATCTACGGGCAGACTGATCTGTAGACAAGTTTGGGCCCTGGGGTCCATAACATAAAGGTGTGAATTCCACTGCTTAGCTTCCAAGGCCCCTGGGGTCTTTCCTCTGCCCCTCCCCATTCCTTAACCCCCAATCCATTTGTTGGTCCCATTTTTTCCCATGTACCAGTAAAGCCAGGATCCCGACGCCCACTTGACACTCATCCTTGTGCGTGTCTGTGGCAGGTCCAGATTAACTCCTCATCAACCCCCGTGCACCACGCTGCTGGCTACACACACACACCCCTCACCTTCAAACACCAGCTCAAGTCCCTCCCAGCGCCTCCGTGAAGCTGTCTCCAACCCGCACACACCTTTCTCTCTCTAAAGGATCTCACGGTCAATACTACGTAATTGAGCATCTTTTCCCTAAGTGCTTCCTGGTGTTTGTCTTCCCCATGAAGCTTCCAGAAGACAAGGAGCACATCTTCTTCCACCATCCATCACACTAGCCTGGGCACACACTGCAGGGTCTTGGCTCTTTCCCTCAGCAGCTCATTAAAATTTACAGGGGGAGCATTATTTAAAAAAAAAAAAGACATGCAAACACGCTGTGGTCCCACCCAGACTTACTGAGAACGGGAATCTCGGGCAGGGCTGGGTCCAGGCCTGTCTGATGTTTAAGAAGCTGACCAGGTGCTCTGCCTGGCAGTGAGGGCAGAGAGCCACAGTCTCTAGGGCACAGTGTTATACTTAGGGATCAGTGTTATACTTAGGGATCAGTGTTATACTTAGGGATCATCTGCTAAGCCCTACAGAATACCCAAAAGGCAGTCTTTCCCCTTTAGAGCAGTGGTTCTCCAGATACTTGGCAACGTCTGCAGATACTTTGGGTTGTCACAACCTGGGGGGGGATGCTATTGGCATGGAGTGGGTGGAGACCAGGGACACTGTTAAACACCCTATAATGCAAAACTCAGCCCCCACAACAGAGAATGACCTGGGTCCGACGTCAACAGCGCCCAAGCTAAAGAACCTGCCCTGGACCGGCACTGTCCAACAGAACTTTCTGTAATGATGGAAACCTTCTACAGCCTCTCTGTCCAGTCATGAGACCCACTAGAGACATGTGGCTATTGAGCACTTGAAATGTGGCTAGTATGATCGAGGAATTGAATTTTGTTTATTTTAATTAATTTAAATGTCAACAGCTACAGGTGGCTATGGGCTCCCATATTGAACAGCAGCATAACCTTGGACCTTATAACATAATGATCAGCAATTCTAGCGGCACTCCATACTCTAAAACTGTCTACCTCTCACATGCCTTGTGGGACTATTACAGACAGCCAAGAACGGCCATGGGAGCACGTGTGTGACTTGCTTCTCACAAGCTCCTCTCATCGGGGGCATGGAGAGTTGACCTTCACATCTACCCAGCAGGCCTGGAGGTGGGAGGGAGCCCAGGGCCACGGCCCCTCGCTCTGCAGGGCTCCCCCTTTCCGTCACACATTACACGCTGGAAGCCTGTCTACACCTGCGTGCCTTTCCTCTCACCCCCTCACCTTGATGGTTTCTAGCTCCACGCGAAGGCGGTTATTTTCTGAGAGGAGGTCCCTGTTCCTGGTTTCAATTTGTTGCAGCTGTGTCTCCAATTCGGCTTCATACTCCCGGCTTCCCTCCTGGAATTCCCGGAGCTCCTCTTGCGTATTCTCCGCCCTACAGCAGAATTCCCAGACGTCAGATAACAACCTACGGAGCACTTCCACGCTGCTGAGTGCTGTACACGGATTAGCTCTTTACTCAACTACCTTTTGAGGCAGAAACTATCATTATCCTCATTTTACAGATGGGAAGATGAGGTTTAGACAAGATGAGTGACTTGTCTCAAGGTCACAAAGGAAGTCATAAACGGAGCTTGGAGCTGCACCCAGGTGTACCTGAGTCCAAAGCCATTTCTCAACCCGTTCACTCTTCATTCATTCATTTAACATATATTTTTTGAGCCCAACATGTAGTAAATATACTTTAGATGGTGTATCCTCTGCAGATTTATTTATAAGTAGAAGTTGGACATAATATAAATGTTCACTGACCACATCACTATCATCTGTCCCTGCCCAATCCCAAACACCCAATTCTAGCTTCCCAATCCTTAAAATTCAAGGGACGTTTTTTTTTTTTAAATACCAAGCCTGAATTATCTTTAAGTCAAAGTAAGAATAAAGAAATTAGAGGGACTGGTATAAGACCTGCACGTGGAGATGATAAGAGTCCATGGGAAATAAAAAAAAACAACGCTGAACCCACACACATGCGAATGCACATGCATGCAGATACATGCACACACATGCACCCTACTCCCAGATACGGGCACCAAAACACTGGTTTCAAATTTAAAAATCCGCAACAACCCATTCTGCTAGGCATAAGGAGAAGTTCTTTCCCCACACATGAAGGACTGACCTGATATGGCATCCGGGAACTGATAACGCCCTGCCAGAAAACAAGATGGGGAGCAGCAGAACAGTTTGCTTAGGACTGTAGGCTCTGGAGTTCAAATTCTAGCTCTGCCACTTACTGGCTGTGACCTTGGGCAAGTTCACTGGCCTTCACCGAAGCTCAGTTTCCTCATTTGTAAAATGGGCTGGCAATGATTTCTTCCCGGGGGAGTTTTGAGATTTAACGGAGATAATGGATGTTAAGCCCTTCATGGCGCTTGGCACAGAATAGGCCCACAAGGAAAGGTTGCTACCATCATTACGGGGAAAAAAAAAAAGCAGGGTGAACTCTGGAGAACTGACCTCTGCTTGTAGGTCATAGCCAGATCTTTCCAATAGTTTGCTTCTTCCTCCTCAGAGCTGAAAGTCTTCCCCGAGTCCTCCATCGTGAAAGCCGGGGAAGAGATCACTTTTCTTGGGGCATGGTGTCTAGGAGAGAAGGTTTTAAAATTACTACCCACATCTGGTTAAACAGCTGATCTTTAATGGGGGAAAAAAATTCCTGAACTTTATGTTCAATTAAATGATAAAACACCGCCAAAAAACTAAACCCAGACAAAATACAGCCCACTTGCACGTTACATTCCGTGGATAGACAAAACTCCCAGGGTTTGCTGATTTATTATATTTGGGGGTGGGAAAGGGGGATGAGGAAAAAAGAAGGTGAGGATATCTCCTGGGGTTCTAGCTTAGGCAACCAGGGGCCACCACCATCCCCATCACTAGAGACGAAAATTATCAGAAGGAACGCCTTTGGGGCAAGGGCTTAACAAACCCAGTTTGGGACATTTTTAATTTGACACGTCTATGACAAGCTAGATGCAACGCTAGATCTGACACTCAGGGGTGAAGTCTGGGCTAATGACACAAATTTAAGAGGCATGAGTTTGTAGCTGGTTCTTTCCTTTTTCTTGTGACAGCACCCCTGGAGAATCTAATGAGGACTATTTCTGGAACTCAGAGGAATGCCTGTGTTTGAAAGGTGGGCAAAGAAAGCAACACTAATTGAAGGAGATAGAGATGAGAACTAGGAAGAGTGAGCTGTCCTGGGAGTAGATGGTTTCAAGGGAGAAAAAGGGAACGTTCCACCGTATCTGTGAGGCAACAGAGAAGCTGATGAGGTAAGGAGTGGAAAATCCATGAGACTTAGTGAAATGTCGGTCACTGGGGATGTGAGCGGAACAGTTTCAACATCGTGGAGGAGAGAGCAGGAATAAACTGGGTGAAGGAGTAACCGGGAGGCGAGGAAGAAGTGGATGGAAGTCTGGAGAACAGGGTGTGAGGAGAAAAGGAGACAAATTAGTCACTAGAGGCAAGAGGGTGATAAAGGCCTTGATTCTGAGGACTCAGATATCCAGGGCAGAGGTTAGGGAACAATTTCTATTAACAGTTGTCAGTTTATAGACTCCCAACTGATAGAGCCTCTTGATATAACAGCTTATCTTCTGCATTTATTTAAGGCTCCGAGCTTGTCAAACGGTCATTAGGAATCCAAATGAGATGTCTCCAAAGTCCCTTCCTTCCCTCAAGAGAGCTCACAGTCCAGTGTTTGTCCTTGGGGGCAAAAGATTAAACGCAACCCTCACTTTGCAAGACACAACCGGCAAACCGTATTTTTAGCTAAAAATACAAAGCATTCAGCTAAATGTGTTAGTGTTGACATGAACATAATCACCAACTTCTGGAACCCTGGGAGAAATTGAACAATTACACCTATATTCAAGTACAACACTTATCGATAATTCTACATTTCTTAGTACCTGTATTCACTTCCTCCTAATTTCTCTCCCTTCCCTAATTCAGAGAAAACAGCCATGTCCCCACCCACCCACCTGCTTCTGGAGAACAGAGTTTCTCAGAAAGCTTGAGCAATGCAGAGAAGCTGGATGCAGTAGAAAGCTACTGATTTTTTTTCCAGCCCAGCGTTCTTTCTTCCATCGTTCTGTATCAGCATCCACTATTCCCTTGGGAGAACTGACCCTACACTCATTCTGTGTGGTTCAGATGGACTTGAGATCATCTTCTGCACCTGGGAGAACACACATGACTACTCATGCCTCCAGCATCAGTAACTGGCTCAGGGGTGGGCCTAACCCATGCTGAGCCAATGATGGGGATCAGCTAACCCAACTGAGCCAATGACAAGGGTGGGTATAACACAAGCTGACCCCATGATTGGTTCAGGGGTGGACCTAACCCAAATTGAGCCAATGACAAGAGTGGGTCTAACTCAATCTGAGCCAATGACAAGTGGGAGCCAATGAGCGTCCAGGCCCAGGTCTTTCGCAGAGCTATCAAAAAAGAAACGCTCTGGAGGTGTTAACTAACTTTATTGTGGAAATCATTTCACAATACATACGTGTATCAAACCATCAGGTGGTACACCTTAAACTTACGCCATGGCGTATGTCAATTATATCTCCATAAAGCTGGTAAAAAAAAGAACCTCTCTCTTTCCACTAGGGTTCGTAAGCTGGTGGAGGTAAGCTGCAGCTGCCAGCGGTCGTCTTGTTATCACAAGGGAGGAGCCTGCCTGAGATTGAAGCCACGACGGAGAGCAGGGCCAACAGGTGCAGAGACCGGGTCCTGATGGTATGGTTTGAACACCTGGCTCCAGTTGTACCTGATTTAAGGTTACGAGAGATAATCAACTCCTTTTCTCGGTTGTACCCGTTAGAGTTGGATTTCTGCCACAAGAGAGTCCTAATTAATGTACGGAGTAAAGGATCTTGTTTGCTGAAAGTAAAAAGGACAGAGTACCTAGAGTGTAAATAACAGTAATTAATATGGCGACAGGTAAGGGTGAACCCAGGTCTGGTATGCCCTGCTCAAGACGTAAGCTCTAAGGAGCCCAGATCTCATCTAATAGGTACTCACCAAACCAACGTCTATAGCGTCAAGAACCCAGAGGCCATGCAACTGTAACTGAGTACCATGTGGCCATTAATGATCTTATTGAGGACACTCTCAACTGCATGGCATGGGAGGAAGACTGTGCACTGCAGAGTGAGAAAGTGAGGAACTAGGAATAATGAATATAGACTGATTTTTCCTGCTATTTGGAAAAGATCATGTCCAAGGTTCAATGTAATTAGTCCCTGCCCACATCTCTAAACATTTCCCACCCCCAGACCCCTCACTCACTCATGCTCCACCCACACTGCCTCCTTTCTGTTCCTGGAACACACCAAGCTTGCTCCCACCTCAGGGCCTTTGCACTTGCTGTTTTCTCTGCCCGGAAAGCTTGTCCCTCAGATCTCTGCCTGGCAGGTTTCCTTCTTGCCTTTCAGTTCTCAGCTGAGACTCCACCCCTGAGAGACTTTATCTGAATATCCCACCAAACACCCACTCCAGCCCTTCACTATCATATTAACTAACCCTGCCTTGTTTTATTTCATCACTTTATGAGTTTTGTTTTTGTTTATCTTCCCCCACTGGAATATCAGTCGTTGAGCACTGGGACCTTCTCCATCTTGCTTTTTAATCCCCAATGCCCAGAACAGTGCCTAGCATGTAACAGGCACTCAACAAGCACTGTGGAATGAATGAACATAGGGGGAGACAGAGATCGACCACTAGCTGGAAGGGGATGTGAGGTTAAGGAAAGGCATGAAGCAAGAGGCCCTCTGAAGGCTAGTTTACAGTTGATATCCATAAATCCCTAAGATGCTTCTCAGGATGGGGACCACCTCTCTCTCTCTCTCAGCACCTGAGTGGCATCTCATGAATGGGAAGGGATTGCAGGAAAGGATACAACGTTGGAATCTACCCCCTCCCCATATTTACAAGATAAGGAGCATCTGATACAGTTATTGGAGTTTCATAACCTTCATCCTGCACTCTTATGACAGATGAGTTTTAGAAAAGGACTTCTTAAAACACTGTTATCACAGCCAGTGAGGCTTAAAACCTAATCCTCAGGAAAGAAATGAATTTGAGATGTTTTAGGAGGCGCTTCCATTGCAGGGGAGGCTCTAATTACAACCACGCTGAAGGGAAGGATCTGGATTGGAACTTCAGGGACTGGGGAGAAAGCAGAGACCTGAGCTTCTCTCACAGCCTGCACAATCTTTGACTCCTTCAACTAAAGGAGAAAAACCACAGACCTGGCATTTCAACCCCAAACCCCTGCATTTTAAAAACAATCCTTAGGGAAGAGAAAAAAATGTACTAGAGGCTAAGGGGAAAGAAGTCACAGCTGAACTTCACTTTGTTATGAAACAGCGATCTTAAAAATAGAAGATTTTTCCTCTGCCATTTGAAAATGTCTCAAACTTCTAATGTGCGTTATTCTCTGCCACAGAAAACAGGGAAGATGACTTGTAAAGGTTCCCTCTTCCAGCCTTATTTACTGAATTTTGTCATCAACTTCTGTTTGCTGTGTGCTGGGCACTTAAGTTATTTTCAAACAACTTTATCTTCTTGAAGCTATTCAACTGTAAGAGTAAGCAAGGCAATCACTGGGTTTCTTAGAAGATGAAGCTGGAGCAGAAACACTGTATGCCTTGACCATCTCCATGGGTGCAAGTGAGTGGCAGAGGCAAACCAGACCCAAGTGCAACAGGGGTCTTGGAATTCAAGTTCAAGGTCTCCCTAGGGTTGCAAGCAGACTGATCAGAGTCACTCCTTTCATTTGGCTTACACTGTCTTTTAAAAGGCACTGTGACAGGCAGATGTTAACACTTGTTCATGGTACACACAACTTTGCACCCACGATCTTAAAAATGAATATTGCATGCATTTATTTCATCAGTGCTACAGGTGTCAGGCCTCCTAACTTGGGTTCTCAATATGCCATCGCGCCCAAGCAGCTCTATGGACAAATCTAACGGGCACCTCAAATGTATCTGCTACAGCACTCAAGGAAGAACAAACTGGAATCAAGTGGTTCAGAAAGTATCTATTTTCTATTTTGCGTAACTTAGACCCGCTATTCCTACAAAAATGTGTTTCAGCAAAGTTTTTTTTTTTTTCTGCACGTCTTGCATGATTGAATTTAACAGGAAAGTCTGAAAACACACTTGAGACACACACCTTTGATTTCAAAACTCTAGAAAAAAACAAAGCAATCTTTCTTGGCTCTCCTCGGAGTGAAGACAGCCAGCACAGCTGGTAAGGAGCAACACACAAGTAGAAACCATGGGGAATCAGCTCACCACCCTTCTCCACCCCAACTCCAATCCTTCCCAATGAAAACACAAGGAAGAGCTGAAGGGAAAGGGAGGAACGGAAAAAAGTTGCCAAATGCTGGCACGTGCTCCAACAGCTTCTATGTTATGACACAGGCTTTGCATTTTGCAGAAGTGACATCACTGGGGCAGAATCAGTCAAGAGTCAGCAAGTCTGGCTTCTGTCTGTGCTTTCAAAGTCTGTAATGATCTACCCACAAAAGTCCTTAGGTATGCAAAGACATTTGCTCAGGGGTGCACACCATC